GTCATCCGGCGTATAGAATTTCGCTGATTGTGGTACGGCAATCGATATTTCAGGCTTTTCATTGGTGCATCGACAAAACTGCACAAAAATACCGACAACTCGGCATTCTGCATTCATCGACATTCCTCGCCGCAACATTCGATTACCCCGGAAATGAATAAAATGTGAGAATCGCATTATTGATTTTTGGATTCCTATCCTATCTGTTTCTGTGGTGAATTCGTAAACCAGGGAAAGTGCATTTCTTCTCGAAATTTTTTTTTACGAACTCGCTTCACGTGTTTCATATCAAAATATATCGAAAATGCACAGCAAAACGAATGTCTGAATTTCACACACTTCTTGTAGACATTTTTCAGACACTAACAAACGTCTGAATAAAACCAGCAGCGAAGTGGTAAAATGGTTTACTTCGGACTCTAAGGGAGATAGCGAAATTTTCGTAATTACATTTGTTGTAGCTCTCAATCGGTTCTACAAAAAATGTTGTAACGAAAATTTTGCCATCTCCCTTAGATTCCGAGATATTCATTGAAAACTGGTCAATAGTCAAAACTGACTTGTACTTTTTTACCACTTCACTACTGAAACGAAAATTTGTCTGAATTTTAAATATGAATTAAGATGTTTGAACCCCTGGTCTTCCGAAATTCAGGCACATTTTCATTTTATTGAGACGTTTTTGTAGTAATTGTCGATTTTCTCATGTTTATAAAGCGTGAAATCCGTTAATTCTTCTTTTTTGGATTTTCATTCATCATGTGCCTTTATGAATCTCATTAATTTCAATTCCTTGAATTCCCTTTTTTCGCGAATGGCATAAAGTTGATTCTCTTCAGGTTTCTAAATTCCAGAAAAACGAGAAAATTCCCCCGTTTCTAATAAGATTCTAGGAAATTGTTTTTTTTTTTCATTCGAAGAAAAACTATAAAATTATTCAGTTTCTAAAGAATTCTCGAATTTTCTGGACAATTCACTAAAATTGCTCACTTTTATAAAAAACAATCGATTCATAATATTTCCTCTTTTTCAACAATTGTGGGCATTGCACAATTTTTTCCATCTATCATCCATTTTTATAATGCATTTATGAGTGTATGAAATTCAATAGTCGGAATTTGAACGAAGAAAGAAAGCTCGTCACAAATAAATGAGGCGATAGATAAGCGCGCGCGAGAGTGAGCTTGTCCAGTCCAGTGAATATCAAGCCGAGAAAACATCAGAGAGTGATGAGAAAAAAAAATCCCTCTGCATTATTTGATTATTTTCTCTCCTGAAGAAAGTGGAGTCGATGAATTTTTCATACCTCGGGATATGAAAAATTCAGTGGCTGTTATTCTCTATCTGTCAATGAAAGCACCCAGTCATTCCGGCAATTAAAAGTTCCTTCTACTCTCTCGTGTCCTGCATTTCATGATTATTTTTTAAGTACCCGAAAACACCGGCTGCTGCATACCGAGTCGTAGATTTTCTCGCGGGCTTTATTTATTTCCGCCTAAAAGTTGGCCAGTCGTAAACCCGGTATTATGAACAAGTTTTCAGTCAGTTTCAGGGGAAGTACATGGAATAAGAGTGCACGTGTCGCTAGTAAAATTGTGTGTGTGGGAGGGTCAGGGAGGGGAATTGTTTTTACGAAGAAAAAAGATGAGGAAAAATTATCCAGAACGCCACGGGACATTTTATCGCTTCAGGAGGAATTACAACTCACAATTCCCTTCGCATTATTCCCCTTGATGTAAAGTGAAAAAACCCTTCAAGTGATTTTTTCTCAACTTTTTCCTCCGTGAAAATATTTTTCTTCAGGAAATTTAAATACCTCAGCCGCTTTTTTTTTCTTTGAACTCTTTTTCAACAGTTGAGATTAAATATAGGACCTTTTATTAAATCCCTATATAATCCCAGGATATCAAATATTTTGCTGTTATTTTATTTATCAAACTTGAAAATAATAAAAGATAAAATTATAAAAACTAAAACTATACTTCAAGTTTCTGAAATAATTTATTTTTATGAAAGTTTTTATGACAAAAATGATAAAATGTCTCGTCTCGAAGATGTCCTCAATCCTTCGTAATAATTCAATTCCATTAATTGTATGAGGAACATTATCCTCAATTGCATTGTAGAGGAAACGAAAAGGAAATCAAAGAAGGCATAAAAATTTCATCATACTCATGAAAAACGTCGTCCACGATTTTATGGGGCGTAAAATTTTTCACCGACATAGTACGAATCCCTCGAATGTTGGCTCTGCACCGTTAACTTCCTCTCTCTTTCCCTCTCTCGCCACGGCTATGTTCTCTCCTATAAAATACTCTATTTGTTCTTTTAATAAAGTTCCTCTTTGTACTGTCCGGCCTCTTGTCGACATAAAAGCGCCTGAGGCCTCTTTGATTGTTTAGCCGGAAAGAGTGAATGTCACACGTCAAATGTTTGATTATTATGTTAAGCTCATGTGAGATCATTAAGGGTATTGCAGTATTTTTGCCGTTTTTTGGTCTTTGTTTATTTCTGCAATTAATTCCATTATTTTAATTTTGAGGATTAAAATTCAATGTTTCACATGAAGGGGAAATATGTCAGAAATTACTGTTTAAGAATGATTAATTGCTCATTTTTGCCGGATTTTGAAGAGGAAATGCAATAGCACTGGTAAAAATTACAAAATTGTTGTGAAATTTTTATTAAACATTTACTAAAATTTAAATGAAAAATCCTTAGAGGGCTATGTATTGCATGATTGCTTACATTCAAGAATAATTTTCAATAAATTTGTCGTTCTATGCATTTTTTAACTATCACGAAACGAAAATTAATTGAAATAATTGTTTAATATAATTTTTCTTTAAAAACCATTCTTCAAAATCATAAAAAAATGTTAAACACCTTTATAAATAAAATGAATTTCATTGATTGGATCATCGATTTGTTTATTATTGCATTGCCCCGAGCTCGCCATGGATAATTCTCTTGATCAAACACACGTGTTGGAGGGTGCCCAAACCCCAACTGTGTCAAGGCAGCTTTTACGCACCCGGGCGCTTCCCTAACCCTCGATTTCAAAGTCAACTGCGTAAATACCGACTGGTTAAATGACCTAACGCACTGAGTAGTTGTCACGTCTCCCTCCCCAAAGTTTCACTCTTCCTCCTCGAATTTTTCGTCTTTTTCTCACGAAGACAGTGACTCTGATTCGTCTAATTTGAGGCTCGACTCTTCCCTACCGCATCCCCTCCGCCCCAATTTTTTCGCACCCATAAAAAATGGCTCGAGGTGCTTTTGGAGCTCTGGCAGAGGCCTAATGGAATATCCTCAATCAATCAAGGCCATAAATGTCGAGTGTGTGTCTGGGACGATTGGAGATGGGTCTTGACATCTTTCGTTTGTTTTTAGTGAACGAGAAAGCTCATTCTCGTTTACTGAACGATGCCAACTGGGTCAGGGTGGTTCAATCCAGTCTAATTGTAACGAGAAGGCAAAATTACTGGTGTTAACGCATTTAATATGTATCTATGGGGTACTCGATCAGAGTTGGAAAATACACCGGAGAAATGACGCATTTCAATCAAACAGAAGTCTCTATTCCAGATTGTTCTATTCATTTCATCAATTTTTTCATCAATATTATGGCTGCTTCAATGGAAATATTTCAATTATATTTTGTTGGGAAGTAAATAATTTTTTTTTTGAAACAAAGAATTATTATATTTTAATAAATTCGTTCTTTTTAAAATTTATTCGATTTGAATAAAGAATTTCTCTGGGTGAATGCAAGAATCTTAAAAATGCCGGAAATCCCGGGAAAATTCCAACAGTTTGACGGAAAATTTGACGAAAATAGTGTGATTTTAATTAGAGCTTTCGTTTCGCCGCATTGTCTGAAATTTGGTTCAAGAGATGTTGTTCAAGAGAATAGAGATATGACGCTGGTAACTATTACCCCTCGTACATGTAGTTGTACGTAAATGGAAACATTAAGGAAAATAGTAGAGTAGGTGAAAATTGTCTTTGTCCCTGGGTTAAACTCCCTCGACAATAGACTCGCCGAGCAAATTGGGGATTCTCAACACAAAAGCTGGTGTAAATGCTGAATTTTTCGGGGCGAAGACATTTATTGTGATTAATGCAAATGATTCCATGCGAGTGGAGGGTTGTGTGTACCTTCATTGTCTCAAAAAAATTTTGATCTTGAATATTAAATTAAATACTAATTAAAAACTACTTGACAATTCATTGATTAACAAACTAAAAAAAATCATTTGATTTTGTTTCTTTCTTTTTCCCTATTTTGTCCATTTCGTTTTTTGATAAAAAAACAATTCAATGATTTAATGTCTTGATCAATCCAAGATGATATTAGAACATATTAACACAAAAAATAAGATCTAAATTTTTTTTTTCAAAAAATCAAAGAATAATTTAAATATAAAAACATTTTTTTTCACTCAAAGAGTCGAGTCGGAAGGGTAGCAGCTACTTTATTCGAATACAAAGAGAGAGTGGGGCAAAACAGGTCATTTTTAGTCGTTAAAAACTCGAAAACCGCAGATTGAGATTTCTCTATTTTTTTGCTCATTTTCAAAATATTTCGTTAAGCTTCAAATGAGGTCTGATTCATGCAAATCGTATCATTTGATTAGGGAATATCGAGAATTACAGAAAGCTAATGTTAACCCACTCTCCCATGCACCCCTTGTAAACTAAATATCAAACTTCCCTACTGTGTGAAAATTCAAAATTTCTCCAGCAGCACAACGTTAATTTACACACATCAAGGCAGCGCTTGCATTAACATACACGTTCTCCGGACGTTCATGTTTATTGCAACCACGCAAAGCCACTTTGAATTTCCACTAGCAAGTCCATTATGTGAGCGCACGATAAGAGGGTCAGCCTTAAACAATTATATCCGTATCTTTACCCTCGATTCATACCTAGTTAGTGAAAATTTTAATGGGAGGCAATTGCAATTTGAGTAACAGTTGTTTATTCATTCACAGCTAGTGAGGAACTTGGAGGTATTGGAACAACTTTGCCATCAGCACCAACGCCTCTTTCACAGTATCCAAAGCTCTGCGAATTACGTAGAAAGTTTCCTGTTCTCTATCGCGTTGAATTTCAGGTAAGTCCTCGCTGTTTACGTTTCTTTTCTCGTTTTATGCTCCTCATTATGCATTTAATATTTTCGCGTTGGTATTTCCCTCCTTTGTAAATATATCTGATGAAAATTGTCGTGCATGCAATTTTTTTAATCCTCAAGAGCAAAGCAGAGGTGAGGGAAAATGTTTTTTTTCCCCTTGATGGAGAGGAAAGAAAACATGGGGCGACAAAGGAATATTCATGATAAAATTTCTGCCTTCCTGAGTCTGTAGAATTTTACTCTCTTCTTGGTGTTATGAATTGGGAACAATAGATGATATCGATTTTTTGGGGGGGACTGGAAAATTCAACGAGTTTTTACACTCTTAAATAATTAAATGAATTGAATAAAGTTGAATTTTAAAGAAGTCAATTGTTAATAGGACTCGTCAATTTTAAATTATTCAATTAATCAATAATTGAATATCCAAATTCCGAATTATTTTACCAATCAATAATTGAGTTCGGAGAATTGACAATTATTTGGATGATCAAAAATCCATTGCATGAAATTTAGAAATATTTTCCCAAGAGTCAATTGAAAATTTAAATGATGAATTATTGTATCATTTTTTAATTACAACGAAAATATTACAAAAACTGATAATCGATGTCGATTCATGTTTGACATTCACGCATTTGTGCTAGTGTTGGGTGTTTACATCTTGTGGAGGCGTCATTGGGGCACATATAGAAATTTATGTTCTCGGTGTTGACAGTTTTTGAAATGTCACCCAGAGCAGTGATGTCTTTGAAATGAGTAAAACTCTTTATTTGAGATGTTAGGTTCAGTCTAATAAAAATATTTCAACCATATATAATAACTAAACAATTCATTCATTCCAAATAAATAATCTATTACCATTGAATAAATAATTTATTTGATCCAAATGAAAGATTTTTAAATGGTAATAAATGTATTTTTTAACATTCCAAATTTGGACAAATGTATAACAATAAAAGAATGATTTTAACTTCAAAATTATAATGTTTTAATTGTTTTTTTTTACCAAAGGAATGATTGAATCGAATAAATGTTTCTCGCGGTACTAGAAAATTCAACGACTGTTTACATTCTTGGAATTTGAAATTCACGCGTTTGCGCTAGCACTCGGTGTTTACATCTCTTGAAAGCGTCATTGGGACACATATAGAGCTTTAATGTTCCCGGTATTGCCCTCGAAAATCGATAAACCGTTTCATGAATGAATGAACGGGTATTTTTGGAGAATCTTTTGAACCTTGATTTTTATAAGAGAGAAACTCCTCGACAGCTTCTCAGAATAATGAAATTAAAAACCACCATTTGCTAATTAACTTCTTTGTTCAGTCGGTGTAACACACCGCGACTTCAGTCAGAGACGTCATAATCACAATGTGAACATAAACCAAGGGGTGAACGGGATTTAAGTAGTTCTGAGCGCTCAACTCATCCGTCGACTCTCTCACGAGCATCAAAGACTGATTTCCAACCTTTACTGTATAGTTAGGAAAGCTGTCTAGTAGTTCTCAAACTCGTTGAAAACTGAGGTGCAAGGACTAACGAGTGTGAGTATCGGTCACATACACCGATTTACCATTTTACGGGAGTTTTTGGAGAAGAGATTTCGAGGGGAAATCTTGAAAATCATTCATGACTTTTTGGAAAGTGTTCTCACAGGAGAAGAAAGTTTTGATTTTGAAGGAGATGTCACTAATCTTCAGGAAGATATCCCTAATTATTAGGGATTTGCGATTTGTTGTTTGTTATTTATACTGAGAAAGTGAGAATCTTTGAGTTTAAACTATTTCCATTGCTTATTTATAGACAACGAATATTGAAAAAAATAATGATTTACTACAAATATGATTTTTTCCAATTTTTACGTTTGAACCCCATTTGTTACTAAAAATTCTACAATTCTTTCAGTTTTCATTTTGAACTGTTTCAACACATTTAAAACATATTTAAAAAATGATGTTTACTTTTTAAAGAAATTAACGAATTCTCGAAATAATTGAAAATCACTATTTTTGAAGATTAAGACCTTTTTAATAAATAATCCCCAAAAAATTGATTTTTTCTGATTCTCGTCAGACCATTCCATTGATAAGTTCAATAATTTTCCATTGATGATTGCTTATAAATCATTTATCACTTATCAATCCTTAATTTTTTTTAATTCTCAAAATTTAATTCTTCTCATTAAAAAAAAACTACACGCAATAATTGAATGAAACAACAAGCCGCTTCAATTCGATATAACGCGGTTTATTTCCCTCTCAGAAATAGTCTGCACTTGTGATTGAGGGACTCGTGACACACGTCTAAAACTGACACATGAAAATGGGAATTTCGCAGGCAACGTACTGGAAAATATCGACATACGTTGAACATACACCAGTGAGAAAGCACCTATTGCATCAAACAAAACATTTTTCATAGTTTTCCAGTTATTTCTCATCCCAGCAAACTTCTCCTCTATTTTATACAACACGGGATTTATACGGCAGTCTCTGTTGTCAAAAGTCACGAAGAGGAATTGAATATTGCGCAGTTACCGGAGGGCTCTGATCAGGCGTGTCAAGAAGCGATGAAAAAAAATTCCTTTCAATTCGCCGTGAACTTTCGGTGGGGCGATAGGTCTTGATGATTTGGGGGATTCCCGATGCGGAGAAAAGTTTGGTGGCATGTTGCACAAAGGTCTCGCCCCGGGAACCGCGAAAAATCACTCCGGGAATGGATGCAAATGAGAATTCGCAGATGTGAGAAGTGATGACGAGGAGAACCGGGGTGAATAGAGATGTCGAGGAGCACTGAGACAAGAGTGAGATGAGGAAAAATAGAGAAGAGGGAAAGAATTGAGAAGATTGAGTACTTTGAACAAGAAATCATCGTGGGTCGCGCTTGTAGGATTATCCTCGATTACATTCAGGGGAGTTGAGAGATTTCATCAGCCTCTGGTCACTGTTGTGAGAGAAAACACGAGTTTTTTATTTTTTTTTATTGAGAAAAAATTTGCAGCTGAAGTGCTTTACTTTCCTGTTTGCACTATTGACAATTGTTGGTTGAATTTTCCGGGGCAAGTGGGAATTTTTATCGTGTTATTGTTCCAGTGATATTTTAAGAAACTAATACAATTGCAAGAGAAAATTGGATCTAGTGTTGAAAATATCTTCTTTCTTGAATTGATGAAATTTTGTTCTAAGATTAATGTATTTGGGGACTGTTTAAATTTTTATCTGAAATTTGCATTACACTTGAAAATTTTTATCGAATTTTCACATTTTAATTTTTTTAATTTTTAGTTTTCAATGAAATTTGAAGGAATTTTGGCACTGAAAATTCACAACTTGATGAATAAAATGGAAAGTGTAAATTTCATTGCAATTATTCCAAACAATTCACTGAAAATCAGTAATTTGGTATTGAATGTTCATGTTTTAATTGAAAATTCAAATAAATAGAGGAATTCTCGTCTCCCTGCAGCTCAAAAACTTCATTGAGTTTCCTGTGAATTTCAAAATTTCATGATTTGTCCCTCGAAATAAAATTCAATGCCACTCTTCTGAAAATTACTACTAAACTCTCAATGTAATCCCAATTTCTTTTCCTCACGGTGTGTAAATTGAACAGAATTCTGGGGATTTTTTCACCTTTAGAAAATTCAGCAGTTGATTAAAAGACATTTCGGATATAGACTAACCAGTTTAGTCTTCTATTCTCCCCGGACAAAGGAAAAGTACCAACCATTGCAGTACGGAGTCCATAAAACTTCGGTAGAAGATTATCTGGACGAAAACGAGACTTTAACGATGAGAATTTCCCTCTAAACTTTCTCTCCCCACTGACTCTCACGTTTATTTACTGGAATATTATCTCACTCGAATATTTTCTAAACGAAATTTCCGGGTAAGACCACACTGAGGATTCAACCCCCGAATCTGAAGGGTAAACGAGAAATCGATGGACGACCTCGATATTTGCTCGTATAAAATTCGCCACACTCATCGCATTCTCACGGGATTATGGCAATCTTGTCCCCAAAAATTGTATGTTCACGAAACTGTTGTCGATATACGTGATGCATTGGTGAATCGATCGAGAATTGTGTTTATGCATCACTCTATTTTCGATAATCTTCGGAGGAACTGCAGCAACACGGTGCCACAATATTTCTGGTCTGAACATATCCAATTGAGATTTTCTCTTTAAATTTGTGAATTAAATTTATTGGGGAAAATGTGCATGTTGCATAAATTTATTACTTTTAATAGTCTAAATTTTATGAAATAATCAGAGGAAATCGTAATTTCCAGATCAATTTTTCCATGAAAATTAATAGAAGTCCGGAAAATTCAGGCAAATGTATTCTTGAATTTTGAATTAATTGAGAATTCCATTGAATTTTTAACGAATGAACTTTCTAACAATTTTTACATGCTGATAAATCGATTTCTAAATAATTAAATCATTATCTAATTCAAGAATACATTTGTTTATATTTTTCCAAGGGTCACAAGATTTTTAATGCGAATAAAAGCTGTATTACGAACTATTGCTATAAAATTGATTCAATTTTTAAAAAATATATTCTCTGGGTTCCATAAAATGCATAGCCAGAAAAAAAAAATTTTAATTGCAAAAAGACGTCCACAATATCCCATTGTTAAAAAAACAGCAAAACAGAATAAAAGAAACCCAAAAAAAGTCAATTCCGACGATGAAAAAGAGACAAAACCGAAATACATATACTGTGACGAACGTCCAGCAATCTCATGAGAGAAGTGAAAAAATTTCTCTGAAAAGTTTATACTCTAAGCCCGCAAAACAGAAGTGAAGCGAAGTGAAGTTACAGAAATGTTGAAGACCAACTATGACCCAACTCCACATTTTCAGCGGCAATATTGAGGAGATTATGAACCCAACTCTGAAAATAAAATACATATCCAGCAAAAAAAATTGAATAAAATACCTCCTCAGCAAAAAATCACAGAAAGGACGCTCACGATACCGCATTTTCAAAAAAAAAACCTACACAACATAATGAAAGAAACCCAAAGGAAGTCAACTCTGGCGATGAAAGAGACACATAAAACCGAAATATATATGCTGTGATGAACGTCCAGCAATCTCGTGGGAGAAAAGAAAAATTCTCTCTCGAAAAAGGGGCTGAAAAATTTATACTCCAACCCAGCAAAAAAGAAGTAAAACGAAGTGAAGTCACATAAATATTAAAGTTCAACTATGACCCAACACTAAAAATTTTTAACAACAATATTCTGGAAATTATGAATCTAACTCTGAAACTAAAATATATATCGAGGAAAAACAATTCTCTGTCGAAAAAGGGGCTGAAAAATCTATACTCAAAGCCTGCAAAAAAAGTGAAGCGACATAAATATTGAAGTCAACAATATTCGGGAGATCATGAACCCAACTCTGAAAATAAAATCCATATCCAACAAAAAAAAAATCTCTCTCGAAAAAGCGGCTGAAAAATCAATACTCCAAGCTCGAAAAAAAGAAGTCAAGCGAAGTGAAGTGACACGAAATGTTGAAAAAATACCTTTCCAGCAAAAAATGACAAAACAGATGCCCACAATGCCCCATCTCCAAAACAACCCTACAAAACATAATGAAAGAAACCCAAAGGAAGTCAACTCTGACGCTAAAAGAGACACATAAAACCGAAATACACATACTGTGACGAACGTCCTGCAATCTCGTAGAAGAAAAAAAAAGTATCTCACGAAAAAAGAGGTTGAAAAAAAAGTTATACTCCGAGCCCGAAAAAAAAAGAAGAAAAGTAAAGCTCCGAATGGGCGGAAAAAGTACCTGAGGGTGCCTGTAAAGTCGGGTCGTTTGGAATGAGGATAGATCGGGCTAGTCGACGAGGGGGTTGTTGGCCAAGCAATTTCTTGTCACGCACGTAATCCCAGCAACTCCTCGGTAAAAGGATATCTTCTGGCTGTGGTTCAAGACTTTTTTACATCGTATCCATCATTTCGGTTTTTATTTCCTCGACGGTGAGCGGAAGGAGTTGATTAATTGAATGAAATTTTAATTTTCATTCCTGGTTTCATCGTACCTCTCCACCCTCGAGGGGCAAAAAAAAATTATATTGAGGAGACGTGTTAGTTAATTGGGGGATAAATCTTGGGGGATTTAAAAAGTGGTGGAGTGCTTGCTTTCAGAGGATCTGGAAAGTAATTTCGGGGGACATGTGGGCGGGAGGGGGGAGGGGGTGCCACAGGACCTGAGTGGGAATGAACGTCGGTGGAAACGAAACAAAAGGAGGGGAGGAGTGAATGTGGATGGAAAGTCACCGGTGTTACCACCAGCCGATTGACGATCAAGGGATTCTTAGCCATTCCACCAACACGAAAAAGCTTTTGGGGTTGAACTGTCCTTTGGAATGACGGAATTACTGCACTTTCGTCATATTAGACGCAACAAGAAACTTCTTAACTAGAAAATGTAGGTCAAAATGAAGAGCAAGTTGTTGTTAGATTTTTTTAAAAAATTATAAATCAATATTGAAGTTTTTTCATTAAAAAAATCATGTTAATTTGAAATACAACTTAAAATGTTCTTCATTTAAAATATTTTTAAAATATTTTTGATGAGGAATCTCTTTTTTTTGCAGTGGGAATTGGGAGGTTTTCACTCTTCGTTTGAAAAACTCGATTTTCAAATAAAAATAGTTAATAGTAGAGATGTAATTTGAAGTTATCTGAATAGCCACGAATTTTATCGTTATTTTATTCATTGTTATTATCAGTTTTGGTGGCGAATTCTATAAAGGGAATCTTTCCGAATACATTTGTGGATGTAAGTTCCGGTCCACTTCTTAGATATTTGTATTTAGCAGCAGTTGCATTTAAATTTTACGGAATTCCGTGATTTAAAACTCATAATTTGATTGAAGTCAACTTAAATTTAATGTCAATTGTAAGTCATGAAAACTGCAATTTTCGAAAAGCGTAGTCCCACTCAAAATAAACAACAAATTGTTTTTATACTTTCATATATTTTTCAAACTCTTGAATCAATAATGACGATTTTCTTGAATAAATTATAATCTCCTCGCTCTAAAAATCTGATATTCCCGGCATGTTTAAGCGCTCGAATCCCCGCATTCTCTTTATACTACATAATCCATGCCGAGGTTTTTTCCCTCGAGTAACGGGGCAGCAAAAAAACTCCCAAAATGACGAAAACTTGACTAACCCGAGAGCTTCACAAGTGCGATTGAATTTCTGCTTGAGCTTGCGAGTCTTGAGTACTCGAATTTGGTTGAAAAAATTGTTGGAGCATGACGGCTCACCGATTTGTAAAGGAAAAACGAGGGGGAAAAATATTCTGAAAATTATTACAAGAAGCAGTGCAGCGATAAGAATGTTCTTTCTCACCGCCAAGTTTGGACAATTGGAGGGGAAAACGACGAAGTTGGAAGTCATTGGAGTGAATAAAGTACATTTGGATCAGCCTGGAAGTGCAGTCAAGTGACTAAAGGGGTGAGGGGGTGCACCAATCGCAACTGAATTTGTACACAACGTAGCTGGGTTACTGCAATGCAAAAAAAAGGGAATAACGTGTACACGAGAATATGTGCGCATGTACATGACTGAGGTGTCGCTGTTCCTTCAACTCGCAAGTCGTCTAGTTACGTAAGGTTCATGGTGCTTATAACCGGAAAGAGGCTGGCGCATTATTTATGAACACTGAGTGGGTCATCTCTCCGCATTTTTGGGCATCAATGCCAAGTGTAATAAATTCACGAATGGGAGAAATTCCAGGGAAAATATTCTTCCTGAAATTTTTAGTCGCAAGTAAAAATCCGTCAATTTCATAACCCTGAATTGATAAAATATAATCAACAAAATATATTGATATTATCCCAAGATTTTCTTAAAAATCAAACATAACAATTGAATTTTTGGCAATTTTTCACATAAATAAAATATTCTTCGCGAAATTTTCAGTCTCAAGCAAAAATCCATCGATTTCGTAAGTCTAAAGTGATAGAATATAATCAACAAAATATGCTAATGTGACTCCAAGAATTATTTTTCGGTTTTTCTTAAAAATCACACGAAAAATTAAATGTTTAGCAATTTTTCACATAATTTAACCCACATTTTCAGTTCAAATTTTTTTTTTTAACATCTGGAAAGGTATTTAAACAATTTTTTTTACTGAAATTACGTAACGGTTTCACATTCTAAGAACAATTTAATTCGTAATGCCTTCGTTATTAAATAATCGAAAACTTTAATTGTTTCGAATGTTTAAGAATGCAAATGTCTTCAACTCAAAAACATTTACATAAGAAATATTTCAAACAATTTATTATCTAAGATTGTGTAAACAGTTTTTAATTTTAATACCAAGGGATTTTACACCGAAAAGTTCGTTAAAATCCGCAACTCCATTCTGAAGGCTAGAGATATTTTATTAATTCTTCATTTGCCATATATGTTACAGACAGCAGCTAAAGTGGAGACACATTCATGCAGGCATGCTACGAAGCCAGCCAACAGAGAAAAGAATCAGAATCAACGGTGTATACCATGTGAGTTTCATTAAAAAAAAAAAGCTGGTGAAATTTTCACAAGCCCCGGGAATGGAGAAATCCGCAAATAGAGTAGATTACATCATGCGAAATTAAAAAAGCTGTGCTTGCATTGAAATGTTCTCATAAAATACAAGTCTCCAATTCCCCGAGTGTAAGAGAAGCAAATATTGAATTCACGATTTGTTATTTTTCAATTTGAGATTAAGGATTACATTTTCCTCATTCGAGATATATTTTTCCCACTCGGTAAGTGAAGACCCGATAAAATACGTTTCTGTGACATAAGGTGTGTCCCCGTAAAGAGGGGCCGTCAATTTTACGTCAACAAGTGGTGCATCTGGGCTTCCATTTAGTCACCAAACTCAAGTGTAGTACTTTGCGGAAACGTACAGTCAATTAAGGGGAAGTTAATTACACAGGGGTGATTGTTGAACATGGGGTGGAGGGTAGGAGAGACTCGAGAATGTGCCGACAGGTTCGATGGAGTATAAATTCCAGGCTCACAATGTCTAACGATCAACAGGGGGTAGTGCCTTGGACTAATTGCTGAGGGAAATCCTTCATATTTTTTTCTTTTTTCGACTCATTGACAACTCAAGATTGAGCACTGCGATCTTCCATCTCGTTGGACATCTCTCGATATGAAAATGGGAATGATTTATTGGGCCATTACTGGTATTAATCCTCGGGGAGGATAAATGAATTGGGGTGATTTATAACTATGGTTATTTTTCAATTTGCAGATGATTACAATAGGGTTGTGCTCGATACTATCAACAACCAGCCGGATTCTGATTATGTTAATGCGTCCTATGTCGATGTGAGTAAATTTTCATCAATTATGCGCTGACAAAATGTTTGTTTGAATCATATGAACATCATTTGAATCGAATTCATCGTCTATTTGATTTGGAAGAGACGAATTATTCATTTCACGTAATCGGAACGTTTTATTGGAGTAAATATATTAGTTTATTGATATTGAAGGAAAATATTGGTCAAATGGATAGAGAAATTTTTAATAAAATTTTTATTCGAATCCAATGAGGCGTTTCGCTGAGTGTTGGACGAGAAAAGTTTGAAAATTCATAATTTTACCGGAAATACAAAAGGAAAAAGGTGTTTTCATCACGCTGTGACGAAAAGTGAACTTTTCGGCACGCTCCGCGTGCCTAAAAGTCCAATTTCCGCCACATTGTGATGAAAAATATTGTTCGTAACTCGTGAAAAAATGTTTTTTAGCTCGTGGGATTATATCACTCGCCTTCGGCTCGTGATATAAACCTCCCACTCGCCAAAAACCCTTTTTTGCTCTCGTTACGAAATATACTATTCAAAAATTTAAACTATTTTCCATTCTTCATTCATAAAAAGAAAATTTAACAAATGAAGTTTTGTAAAATATAATAACAAAACTGTAAAAAACACTTGGAAATGCTCAATCTACAAATGCAATTCCATCTAGGAAATTAAATAATATATTTTGACACGAGTGCGTAATAGTATATTGTGTTACTAGTGCGTAAAGTTCTTTTTTCGCACGCACGTGTAACCCTAATTTTCTGCGACACCTGTCGAGTTCACTGTTCGGACCGGTAGTGGGGGTCAAGTGGTTATTTTTGTACACGAGTGCGTAAAGTTCACGAGTGTCTGCAAAGTGAATTCGGTGCTTTTCGCAGGCTCTTAAACGTTACGCACTACATGCGGAAAATAATCGCTTTGCGCACACTAAACCGTTTGTAAAAGTTCACTTTTCGTTTTTTGACTCGTTTTTGACTCGTAGGAGGTGTGTAGCGCTGGCCGAAGGCGAGTGCTATCCTCCCCTCTGATCCAAGGGTCAAAGAACCCTTTTCCCACGAGTGTCGAACTCCATTTTTCATCACAATCTGCGCAAAATTTCACTTTTCGCCCAAATAATGAAAAATGAAGGAACTCATAAAAATTAAATCCAATTTGCAGAGTATATTAAAGCCAAATGCCTACATCGTTACTCAGGGACCCATAGAGACAACCGTCACCGAATTCTGGCGGATGGTGTGGCAGGAGCAAGCCTCCTGCATAGTCATGCTGACAAAAACCTTCGATTTCATCAAGGTAAATCCTCCTCCCTCAAATTACCGAATAAACTGTCAATCCTCCACCCGATCTCAATTAATAACAATCCTCAGTGTATAAACATTCAATGAGCAAACTCGTAACTTATCCCTCTCGTAATCCTTTCATCCTCCAACGGCCGCTATTACAAACGCGAAACATTCGATTATCGATTGCGCGAGTGGAGCGACAAAACACGGTGTTAGGGGGGAGGGGGGTAAGAGTAACATACGAATGCGCATGTAGATCGAGGTGTGTCCGTTCAATCGTACAGTCCCCGATGGCCACCGACACTGATGATCCTCGTATTAACTATGACCTCGGCCACCTCTGCCTCAGGGACTGGGATGCAATGTCCGGACGTGAGTTTCAACTGTATCGTGTCATGAAAGGGACGAGCTGATGTGATTTTATGAGCGTAATTAGTTAAGTTTCCTCATCAACAAAGAATATTTACATGGAAATTAGAAAACAAAGTCAACGGGTAATGGAGATATTTAAATATCCCGGGGAAAATCGATGCAAAGGAAGCGCAGAGATGGGAAAATTTAACAATACATCCGCTAAAGAAGCCGCATCTTCATTAAATAAACTTTATTTTCATCGATAAATGACGTCCCCTTCTTTTATTCAGATGAAATAAATAATTTTTTGAATATAAATGAAAGTTTACTTTATCCAAACAAAGAGTCCATTAGTTAGAAATAAAATCATTCTTAGGATAAATGAATTATTTATTTTCTATAATTGCAGCATTTTTATTAAAACAAATAGAAAATTGTTCAATAAATAATGCGTCATTCCCCCGGGTGCAGGAAATTTACTTTTTCTCCAGTAACAGTGTTTCCATCGATTTCAACCCATCCCCTTGAATTTCTGTTCCATCAGGTCATGTGCGTACAATACTGGCCACCCAATAAAGACAAGGATGAGGAGTACGGGGGCATCGGTGTGTCCGTTCTCAAGGAGGAAGAATTGGCAAACTTTCACATACGAACGATAAAACTTTATAAGAAAGATGAGAATGGCGTGAGTATCCAATATCCAGTCCCAATGGAAATTCAAAAACACTTTCGTATTATTAAATTACTTTCTTCTATTGAAATTGTTATCCAGAAAATTAATGAAGAGCGCACGTTGCTGCAGTTTCATTACACAGAATGGCACTCGCACACGTGTCCATTCAGCAATGCTGTTCTGGAATTTCGGAGACGGGTGAGAGCTGTAGTTGGGTCAACTATCAAGAATGAATCGGGTCCTATGATTGTTCATTGCAAGTGGGTTTAATTTGGGATATCATTAGTGAACATCTGCTTAATTTGTTGCAAAATGTATTCACGATTTTTTGAAAATTCAGTGATGGCGGTGGTCGCTCAGGTGTGTACCTGGCGATCGATGCAAATCTCGAGCTTGCGGAGGAGGAAGACTCCTTCGATGTCTTCGGGTATTTGAAGAAATTGCGACAGAGTAGACGAGGGCTCATCGAAAATTTGGTAAGGATGTCAGATCGACACATTCAGCAGTTTTATCCCGAACTTTCTAATCCCTAATCGTTCAAGGAGACAATATTTTCATCTTAACGATGAGACAACACGAGATTAAAATGGACTAGAGGCATTACCATTCCATAAGTGATGAATACAAAATACACTGTTGGAGAAAAAAATGGAATTCCAATGATACCATGAACATTCATCATCAAATTCCTTGAAATTCATTTTTTTTTTCCAAAAATAAGAAATTATTCACTCCATAAAAATTCTTTTATTGAGAAAATTTTTATAGCTCATCGGAAAAGGACAGGAATAACCCATTCCTATTCAATAACGTTCCGAATGACTATAAGTCATATCTCCCATCAACTATAAAGAAGAAAATTATCGTGAAAACCCTAGACTGCCGCCTGGCAACAAACACCTATTGTTTTCTCCTCAAATCCCCACAATTCATGAGGATCGACTAAACCATCCATAAACGACGTGATCCCCATTTTCTGTGATCACTGAAGACCACCCTTATTTTCCTCAAAAACGTATGAAACCCAGTAGACCGTTAACACCAGCGAAACGATGCATTTACCGATAAACCCACTGTCCTGTAAAATAATTGTATAAAACCTGACCATATACGAGACCCCGAGCAATTCAGAATTTATTCACAGGACCAATATAAATTCGTGTACGACACTCTCGAGGAGTACATCATCTGCGGTGCCTCGTGGTTTCCCGTCTCCGAGCTGTCGCAACGACTCAAGCAGAAGAGCGTGAAGAATCCACTGACAAAGATGAACGAGTATCAGCGTGAGTATCAGCAGATCTGCAAGCAAACACCTCGTTTTACGATCGGTGATTGCGCGGGTGGACACAGAGCGGATAACAGAGAGAAAAATCGTGATGTCCTAGTTGTGCCACGTGAGTTGTCTCGTTCAATATACAACACTTTCAGCAATATCAATACTTTTTTTTTACCAATTTTTCAATACAATTTATCTTCAACAGCTGACAACTTTCGTCCGTACTTGACGAGCTTCCAGGGTAATAGCTTTACCGATTACATTAACGCTGTATTTGTAGATGTGAGTATCAATGGGATAATCCAATCACCAGTTGTCATTGAAACCGTATATGCGAGAATTGTGTTTAAGTTTACCTAGGGCTTGTTAAACATACTCAATTTGATTGATAGGGATACACGAAGCCCCGTGAGTACATCGTTACCGAATGGCCATTGAAACATACGTGTGGAGAATTTTGGTCACTTGTCTACGATTACGAGTGCTCAGCGGTTGTTATACTGTGTGTACCACCAGCAGTATCAACCAACTTTCCAAGCTTTTGGCCGGAGGGAAGACACTCCAAGAAATATGGCCCAGTATTCACCATAGATCACATTAGCCACAACCACTACACAAACATCAAGACTTGGGTGAGTTTTCCTTGCTTTAACTTTCCTGGGATCGATAGTGCGCCCCAAAGTTTTCGACTATTTGACTGACGGGGAGATCTCACTTTGCAATTTGGTCCTTGTAACAGGTATTCAGGATAAACAAGAAGATAGTGTCCCTGACGGAACTAATGGCAGGAGTTAAAGCACCACCGAAGACTGTCCAGTTGTTTCAGTTGACCTGTTGGCCAATGGGCCAGGCTGTGCCGACGTCAACGAATAGTTTAGTCGAACTGATGAATATGGTGGAGCGGTGGCGACAGAGGACTGATTATGGACCGGTTGCTGTGGTATCGCCCGACGGCAGGAGTCGGTGTGGTGTTTACTGCGCAGCGAATGCTTGTATTGAGCAAGTTATACAGCACGGTGAGGTGGACATATTTCAGGCTGTCAAGACTGTCAGAAGACACAGGCCCCAACTCGTTGAGAACATGGTAATTAACATTTCATTTACCCTCGTCATCGTGTAATGAAAGAAGGTAAACAAAGTGTTTTTTTATTTTAATTATTACAGACTGAATACAAGTACTGCTATGACCTAGTTCTGCACTACGTGCTGCATTATCTGAACAAGGATATGAATGAAAAGAAGTGAGAAAGCGAGTTGAGGGACGAGCTGTGGTTCATCGAGTTCGGGCGTGGGGCAGCTCTGCCTTTGACACCCGAGGAGGCGCCAACCGATGGCGAGCCTATTGTACCGTGCGCCCAGGGACGCATTATCATTGAAACGACCCATTCGGCGCCACCCCATTTTGCCCAGTGTTCAACTTATCGACATGCAATTATTGCTGATGAAGAATCACCACGTGTCTCGGCATCATCGCCAGGATCTTATTCAACGGATGTGGGTCGTGGCGCTGTTTCTAAGAATTTACTTCATCGTCAACACTCGATTATGCCTCAGAGTCCAGCAACGAGACCCGAGGACCTGCGAGTAACGCCTTTGTATGGCGATGAGTCTGCTATAGATTGTGCCACACCGGGGCCAAGCGACCAGAGCTCGTATCCCTCCTCATCCTTCATGCGTAATGGTAGGCAAATGATGGAAGCTAGAATTGATTTGAATTCAACAAGAGGCAGTAGTGCAGAGAGTGAGACATCTGCAGCTAAAGCATCTGTACCTAGAAAAGCATATATGGATTTGAGTGATGCTATGGCTCTGCTTGATGAGACATGTCCCAATCCCGATGCCAGTCCCTCACTCACACCTAGAACACCCAGAACTCCCCTCACACCGCATCCCAGAAACAAACGCGCTCGATCAAAGAGCAGTGACAATTCATCCAATTACAGTAGTGATAGATTGAGTGAGAAAACCACGGATTCGGGTAAAGAGAGGGAGAGACGACGGCCGTTTTTGAAGAAAATTGGAATATCAAAGACTGAGGATCGGCCGTTTCTCGCGAAAATAGCACCGAGAATTGTCGGTAAGCCTTATCTTGAGAAAATTGGTCCCAGTAAAGCAGTTGAGAAGCCATTCTTGGATAAAATTGGCTCCTCAAAAACTCTCGATAAATTTTCATTTGATGCAATCAGAGATTTGCCAAGAGCTATGATGAAAAGAACTCATACAACAACTATTGAACCAGCACCGATTCGAAGAACTCGGGTAGAGGAGTCAAAGGATTCGGTACTGGTTGTTGAAGAGGAAACAGAGCAGCCTGAAGTCAATCACATTGGGGTGGAGAGAAAGCGTAGTGGGAAGGGTTTTTTGTTGAAAATGTATTCTTTTGAAACCGAGGATTTGGACGAGGATGCATTGAATCCTGTGAAGGAACGGAGAGATGAGCTACGGGGAGTATCACTGGATGATGTATTGGATTCTGGGCCAAGCTCGTTGCCACCACTAGAGGACGTTGAGGAGCTCTCAAGTCCCCAATTGGAGACCACTTTTGCTGGTACCGCTGAGCTCGTTAAATGTCGAGTGACCACAAGCGAAGAAATTGTTTCTTCGAGTACTGGACACCTTAATTCACCGGCCAGGGGAGCGGTGAGTTGGAGTAATTCCCCCAGATGGCCGATCAAGCAGCAAACGACAGACGTTAGAACCTTGGAACGAGAGTTCGGCTCGAGGGCTGTACTTGAGAGTGATGAAGAGAGTATTCCGAATTCTCCGGCTAGGTGGAGAGCCTTCAAAGTATCACCGGAGTCACAAATGACCGCTCGGGGAATGTCAAGGAAAACTAAGAACTCTTCTTTACGTAGGGATCTCGACGCTTCGCCCACGAAAACGAGGAGACAAACGCTGGAGGAACCCCTAGAGTCAGAAAAGAGCCCTGAGTTTGATCTCGAAGGGATAAATAAATCAACAGATGAGGTGAATAGAGCAGGGAGTGAGGAGTTGTTGACATCGACCAATAGGAGACAGATTTTTGAAGAGGCTATTGAGAAGTTTGGCGGCTCCGATTACATGACAGCGAGAACAAGACGACAAGTGTCTGAAGACATTCTAGATAAATCCGACGATCAGAAGAACGGAGACTTTGAGAGATACAATGACCACAGACGAGGTATTTCCAGTGATAATCTTCGCTATTCACGAGAGACTATCGTGGGTTCAGCACCATCGGCATCCTCCCTCGGATATCAGAGTGGTGACTCCTCATTCATTAGCCAAAGATCTTCAAACAATAGTCAGGACATGCTTCGAGGGGCATTCAAGCATCTGCACGAGAAATTCGAACTTCAGGACGTGCCTCCGGAGAGCTATGCTGCTTTTAAAATCAGATCACGCGCTAATTATGAGAGGCAAAAGTTTATAGCGAAAGAAACTACCATTGGACCGACGATACAAGTTGGAAAAGTTTATGATATTAATTATAAAGACTCTGGTAGTCAAGAAATTGTAGGAAATTCAACGTCTGAAAAGGATACTGAAGAGAAGGAAAATAAGAAAGAAAATGTATCGCGAAGTGGAACTGTCAAGTCAGTCCTTCGTAAGCAGGAGAGAGTGGATCACGGTAACGATCAAGAAGTGGATTTGGCGGGGTCAGTGAGGCGTCCAATGAGGCGAATATTCCACGAACCATCCCAAGAGACAATGGACCTACTGACAGAATTGAAGAAGGTAAAGAGCTTATTAAGGACCCCCTCTGAGGAGGGAAAAGACTGGGAATTGGATTGTCTGAAGCCAGCTCGAATGCCAAAGAAAATTTCACTGACTGATAAAGAATTTTGTCTGTCGGTGGAGCGTGAAAATAGCATACGAAGGCCGTCAGTGTTAAAGGTTCAAGGAGGTAATGGTAAAGTAGAGAGTCATGATCAAAAGGAAGTCTTGAGAAGGGAGGAAATTGGGCCAGCTCTGTTTGAGAAGAGATGTATGTCGCTGGATTATGCTGATGATGTGAGACCACCGAAGCCAGAGGCACGTGCTATATCTCTGGCTTCAGCGAGACGATTCGGCACAGAGGAGACTCTAGACTCCTCGGATCCGTGTAACTTGTACGACTCGAAGAGCTGTCTCTCGGACGTCTTCACGACACCAACTGATGACGGGGAGGACAAAACTGTGGAAATTAAGCACGTGCCGAAGGCCACCAACAACCACTTCCAGGACGTCGACATTGCCATTCCCATCGATCAGACAAGCTCCATCAGTCCGAAGAAGAGGGTCCAGATTCAAGGGAGAACGAGCGATCTCTATGAAATTATTTCGCCCAGGTCTACGCCATTCAGAGTGAAAAAACGACTTGGAAGAATATCAGTCGAGGAGACAGTTAAACCTGAGAGTTTTACATTGGACAAGGTTGATTGCAGGTCCGTTGCGACCCAGAAAAGGACCAAGTGCTTCCCCTTGTAACCCACGCCGTTGGGCCTGCGATCGGCGGGGAAACTGCTCTTTCAAGCCACAAACGCGGGCTCCTTGGACCATTTTTGTATTTTCCTACGGTATTAAGGAAACTACGAAGTTTTTTTTTTTGTATTTTGTTCCAATATACAATATTTTCGTTTTTCTCCGACCGCTTACTCAAAACTGGTCATTGTTTTTGGAGAGAAACTTTGTTAGCTTTTGCTTCGCATGCAGGAGCCACTTTTAATTGTGAAAAGAACATTGGAAAATGGATAATTAAATGTACATAAGTATGTTTGTTAGGGTATTACGTTATACTGAAAGTACACTTTGTGTTTTATATATTCTATATAGCAATTGATGTTGCTTGTATGTTAGAGCGAAAACTTCATATTCTAACGAGAGAGATGAATAATTCGGGCTTTTGTTTTAAACTTTTGAAATTACACGACAAACCCACCAAATTCTATTAACTATACTCTATTATACTGATGTAACAACTAAGACGAGCACTTTTTTATAGAGAAACAATTTAATAACTGAGAATAATGAATTGAGAATGATTTGAGAGAAATATTGAGAGGTAAACGGTTTCCACGCGTCATCATTCGTTTCACGAGACGTTAATAAATCAGTCCATCTAGAATTTACACATTAAGTGTCTCGTTGGATTCTCAACGTTCGATCCTCTGTCGATTTGACAAACTAAAAACGTCAAAAATTGAAATTATCGAATGTTGTGAATTCTCTTCTTGCGAGCAGTGCCTTGTTCATGGATATATTTATTTAAAAGAAAAATAAATTATAACTAAACACGTTATTGAATTCCGGAAGCGGGTCGGATTTTCCGAAAGGGTCCACAGGGAGTTGTGATCTCAATTCAAATAAATTTTCTCCCTCTTCTCAATAGATAAAAAAATGAATAAAATTCTAGGATTATAAACTGCTTCTAGAGAATTCCCAAATTCTTACCTTTCGAGGTCTCAACTCCGATACAGATGCGTCCGCCTGCCAAGCCTTTTTCCGTTTGGAGGGGCACGTGATGATTTAAAATATAATCTAAAACATAAATAAATAAAGAGGAATAAACAACTATTGCTGAAGTTAAATTAATTATGTATTAAATGAATCTTATTGTTGATAAGTTCCTCTTGTAATTCGTCTGGGTGTTTAGATAGGGGATGAGTACGACATTGGAATTAACTAAATATACGGAAAGTAAATGGAAATGTAGATATTATAAATATTAATAGATCAATATATGGAGAAAAGTTATATGAAACATTGTTACAGTGATCGAAAAATATTTGTATGTAACTTTTAAGTACGTAAATAAGTGATATATGGTATTTGTTTACGCGAACGTGCCAATTCGCAATGACTATTACTTCGTAAATAACAAAAGAGTGGTGCGTTCTTGTGAAAATAAGAACTAAAATTCTCGCATTGACGATACATTGTGCCAAACGAATCACAGATATGATAATTGTTTCGTTCTGTTCTGTATGTTAACGTTTGTATTGACGGATATGTGGGATATATCGCATAAGCAATCGGGTAATAAATAGAACATTTTCAATCGAATAAAAATAATTTTTCTCACCGGTGAAAAAAATTAATAGAAAAGTCAGCGCTTTCTTCAAAAAATTCTATTGAGTAATTCTACCTTTTTGCGTTAATTTTGGGGAAATTTATGCTTTACCATGTATTTTTTAAAGAGAATATGTCATAGAAATAACTCAATGGATTTAGATTTTTTCCAAATTTTTCCCCTTTTTCAACAAATAGAATTTTTCCAATAGAAATAGAATAGAATTTCTTAGAGGGAGCAATCGGTTATTCTGTTAAATTTTTTCATACGCGTCGTTTCATTTGGGCATATTTGGAGGTGGCTTTAGGCATAAAGATGAAACAGGGTTCAATGCGATATTTTAGCCGACTGTCCAAATTCTAACATCTACACATAGCTTTTCACATATTTTTCTTTCACTGTCGGTGGACTCTAGATGACAGCCATCCGTCCATCATTTAGGCTGTTCGTGTTCACTTGTACACGCTGACAGAATAAATTGACCTACACTTTATCCATCGGTCACAAGTCAGAATTGTTAACACACATTGTAGCTATTTAATTTTCTCGCTGGCGAGATTCTGAGAAATTTTCTACCACATTCGCAGACGACAGTTTTGGTACCTCCTGCCTGGATGAGAATATAACAATTGATGCATACGCTTAACGAAATATAAATTATTATCTCAGTTAAAATGTAAGAGTTCGGGGGAGTAAATTTTCTATCGTCCAAGTGGTGTGTTGAGCGCACTACTGTGCGAATTAGATTAATCATAAATTGATTATTCGATAAATAATATGTATTAAGTAATTCACAATTTTGGAACACATGCGGGTGTGTGATTAAATGCGAATAGAGTATGTACATGTTTTTATGTAAGACCAAAATTTAACGAAGGTGGCGGTAACAGGCGTTGATCATATGTCGCGTAAAAATTCATAAAATAAACGTTCAAATATGTGGGGTGATAACAACTTTTTACACCCGGTGTGACTGAACTACGTTTTATAAATTGTGTGATTAATGATTATAAATACTGATGAATAAACAAATGTTGGTATACACTGTTGTAAATAATAAATAGATTGTACGTTGTATGCGCGATAAAGTGTCTGTTCAATTTTTTTCATGTCTCTTTTCGCAATTAATTCTACAATTCATTAATTTTTATGAAAAATTATCAATTGAATTTCTGTTATTTCTGTCGATAAATTACTACAACCCGATGAAATACATCTTCTTTTTTACTTGAGAACCGGCAAAGGATAAAAAATGGTCTCAACCAGAGTCTTCAGTACCCGCAACTGATGCCAGAAATAAATACCGATAGAGTAGATTTCTCGCAATCCCCGTAACATGCACACACTCATTCAAATTTAATTACGTAAATAGCGTTAATGTCGTGTCAACATTGAACTTCGCCCACGCGCTGTACAGATCCCCTGATAATTCTGACTGAAGTACTCGGAGCAATCTCAATTGAACTAATCATTCATGATAATGAAAAAGAACTAGTTCACTACCTAGTGCGGGGGGGGGGGGGTCGTCGATAGGGTCACGAGGGCCAAAGTGTCAGATCTTGGATTTTTCCAGGGGGAAAGTCGACTTTCGCCAGAATCGAATTTTTTAGCCGGGTGAACGTTGATTCCAACTATTTAAGCGACGGGCTATTCAGAACTCTCAAAAGTATGTGGAAAAAGTGTAAACTGAAATTTTTTTTTTCAGATTTTCAAAGGGTCAGATTTTCCGTTTTTCCAGGGGGAAAGTCGACTTTCGCCAGAATCGAATTTTTTAGCCGGGTGAACGTCGATTCCAACTATTTAAGGGGCGGGCTATTCAGAACTCTCAAAAGTATGTGGAAAAAGCGAAAACTGAAAAAAAAAAATTTCACCGGGGGCTAAAGAATCAGATCTTGGATTTTTCCAGGGGGAAAGTCGACTTTCGACAAAATCAAAATTGTTCGTCAAGTCAATGTTCATTCTTAATTAGTACGTCATTATTTTTTTAGAATTACTAATCAATTGAGTAATCCTCAACCACTGAAAAATGCATACATTCATCCGAACTACAACCTACCGAATTACAACTGATTTACCATCGTCATTTGTTTATAAATAATAGTTTCCGGCGGACAACCTGCTGCTCTAGTTCGATTCAGTTTGTAATTCCGCTTGAAATGAGAATAATCCCTCCATCTCTCAGCGTGCCGCTGCACTAGAAAATGCGATTGGTAAGACTTTTTCAGAGGACGTCTGCAATATCGAGCCCTGTTTAACCACCTCATCAGAATCTGCCCATCCGCAAATATAACCACAAATTTCCGTGCCCATCTGTTCCATCGCCTCCAGTACCGACGCCATTTCCCCCAGAATGTGTCCAAAACGGACTGTGTCTATCTGAGATTGTACAAACGACCCCCCCCCCCAAACTCGTAGTGCCCGCGTAAACACGTTCGAAGTTGCGGAGCACCTCTCCAAACAGAGCTGATAAAAAAAAAACAGAAACTTTGACAAACAACTGAGTCACCGGGAGCTGGGGTATCCCTGAAGTCCTCCGGGCGTAAACACTTTACCTGCAAAGGGCACTCAGCGCCCGGGGGGGTCAGAGTTACGTGCAAAACATTTTACCTGGTCCTTTCACAGGGAATTATCACCAGGAACTGATACCATCCCAAATCCCAGTATTAAATAACTCCTGAAGTAACTATTCATAATCATCAAAAACAAGGTTGTAAATCAGGGACTCCTCCTACTTCAGTCATGCCAGGATTCTCCAAAGTTTAGTGAATGGGAGTTATTGACAAAAGGGGCAATATTACGGGCATTCATAGGATTTTTCGCCTCGGCAGGCGCAAAGTCCCCATTTCCCTCCCGGAGGGAATATGACTTTGCGCCGAGGCGAAAAATACGGTTCTAACCATGGGAGGTAAAATAAAATAAGGGAGCCTTACCAATACAGAAATAAATTATTTAAAACATTTCGTGACTATTTAAAATGGAGAATCAAATTTATTATTCCAAACTCCACGCGAAGAAATCATTGCAATATGTTTGCAACCCAGACCCTAGGGTCAAATAAAAATAAATCTTCCTGCAGCTAAAGAATGTAGAAGAATCAATAATTATTTGCGCTTAATTGTATCCAGTGTCTCTCTCCGAAAAATGATATCGACTTTTCATGAAATTTCAACTGTTTTGCTAACAGTAAAGATATCCAAGTACTTTTTCTGTTCTTATAATCGAACGTTAGAGGTTTCATTTGAGCCCCATTTCCGAAGGTATAAATGATTTCAATTATTTATTTATTAACACCGAACGCTTAAAAAAATAATTCTGTGCAAAATGTGATTTGAATGGGCTGAATATTCCTAATTTTTTCAAATTCTTATCACGCAATTTAATTGAATTTAAAATTTGATAATTGATTGAATCTATAGTGCGGTCTGTATCAAACTAAAGATACTTGGATACCCTCAAATCATCCCCTTATCCTACACACCAGAAAAATCTTGAAAAAGTATGTCAAAGAATTTTTCCCAAAAACCTCCCTTCCACAGACATTCAACTCCTCAAACCTAAGCCCTCCGAAAAAAACATTGAAAAAAATTCACGTGAAATGAACTCTCGAACCGAAAACCCCGAAAACCTCAACAAAACGTCTCCCAACAATTAGCACAGCCATTCACCCATTCCAATAAACAATTGAATCCCCGAGTCACGCGAGTAATCCCCCGCATGTGCCCTCCGTGCACATCCATCGTTTTGCTAAAACCACATACAGGTATATAATTCCTCGGCGCTACCACGCGCGCCACCTTTTACCAACTCCTCCTGTCCCAAGTAAAAAGCCACCGACAATAAAAACCAGCCTCACCCCCTCCCAAGTGCAACGGAGACAGCAAACCACGTATGCTGCCCGTTACCGGCGTTCAGCAGCAACTCTCCCTCGTTGCCATTTCTGCGCATGCGCCGGCGATTTCCGAGTAGCGCGCGTCGTTCGGCCAATCGCACAGCATCACTGACGCCACCGTGAGCCCCTGCGATTGGCCAGCCCTGACGACACCTCTATTTTTAGCCTCCGTGAGTCACGAGATATAAGGCAGTACTTTTAGTTGGGTGTTCACAAGTTGCCGAGACACCGCGCCGCACGGTACGTCAAACAATTCCGTGACTGTTCCTCTACGTCACACGTAAACGAACACACGCGCACCGAATAAACTGTGCGCACGAAAAATATTTTCCCATTCAAAAAAAAAAAAAGCCGTGACACGAGTCATTGAGACACAAGTTACCGTGTGCCCGCAGTGATACGTGAATAATCCCAAGTGACTCATTGTTTTTAATGTGCTACCCTCGTGTGCTGAACAATCAAAGCCCTCGGTGATTTGATATCGCTGTACGTCACACACACCGATACAGTGATAAGTTGACGCGACAAGTGTCGCGGGTACTGTACAGGCGGAACCGGTAAACCATACTGTATATATTTTCCATCAGTTGCGTAGAACCCGGTGTTATGTAACAGGCACACACGACAGACTGCAGTATCCGAGGAAATAGAAAAACAAAAACTAGCCGCCCGTGGGAGTGTTTCCGGGCATTTTTGTTACTCGTGCAAGAATTTAAAAAAAAAAACCTATCGAGTTAATTGTGCCTGCCCACACATTGCCGTCTATTTCGCAACAGAGACAGAGAGAGAGAAAGAGAGAGAGACAGTGTTATTCAGCGCGAGTGAAGGAAAGTCGGAATATAACCCGTGTGTGTATAAAAGCCGGAAATCCTGAAGTGGACCTGATGGTGCGAAGTTTAACGATGGAGGCGACGTTCTACGATGAGGTGACAGTATACGGTAGTTGCAATAGGGACAACGTGGTCCAGTTGAAGAGAAATTTGACCCTGGACCTAAACGGCCATCGTCAGGGGCCACAGGCGAAAAGGCCGAGGCTGGGACCCCTGCCCCTGACGCTCAACAATTCAGCCCCCGTTCTGAGCTCACCGGATCTCAACATGCTGAAACTCGGCTCACCGGAGTTGGAGAAGCTCATTATCGCCCAGCAGGACGGTCTTGTGACGACAATGCCCACACCCAATCAAATTCTCTTCCCCAAGACTGTTACCGAGGCTCAGGAGCTCTACGCACGTGGCTTTGTTGATGCCCTCAATGAGCTCCATCACTCAGACAGTTCGCAGGAGCCCGGAAGCATTCACGGCGCAACGTACACAAATTTGGAGCCTCCAAGCTCGGTTCAGAGCACGGAATCACTGTCCCAGGGACTCCTCATGATCAAGGACGAGCCCCAGACTGTACCAAGTGTATCGAGCTCACCCCCAATGTCCCCCATTGACATGGAGAACCAGGAGAAGATCAAGCTCGAGAGGAAGAGACAGAGAAATCGTGTTGCTGCCTCCAAGTGCAGGAGACGCAAATTGGAGAGAATCTCCAGGCTTGAGGACAAGGTCAAGTTGCTCAAGGGTGAGAATACAGAGCTCAGCAGTGTTGTTCACAGGCTCAAGGAGCACGTGTGTCGGCTCAAGGAGCAGGTCATGGATCATGTGCACTCTGGCTGCCAAATGATGTCCGTGTCTGGACAATTTTGAAGCTCTTGGGGGGAGTGATTCCTTGATGAATGGGGAACAACACTCGAGCCTTGAGTAGATCGTGAGGAATTCTGAATCTCTTCTTCGGGGGATGTTTTGGGGGTTTCTCGGTGATCAGCGCCACGTGGAGGGTAACAGCGGTTGTTATGCATGGCGAATACACCCTGAGGGAATCTGGGAGTGCCTTTGAGTGCTGTGTTGAAGATATGGACAACTAAATTTGTTAATGGAGGTGTGTTATGATGGAGTCCACGCACGTCCACGATAGCGTTGTTGACGTCGCTTGTCTGGTGGGAGGAGCACCGGAGAGGAGCGAAAGGCGAAAAAATATATTCGTGGGGGGATTAGGGGGGGGAGCTACAGTGGCCATTTTGGAGAACATCCGAGAGCGCGGCAATTTTGAATCGTCCAGGGACTCTAATTCAATCATTTTTTGGAGGAGAGATGAATGAACCCCCTTCAATCGTCAATATATTGAAATTGGCTGAGTGAAAATTGACGATTTCTTTTTCAATTTGAAGGTATTTTTTCGGGGTTTAAAATGAAATTTGATTTTTACAAATTGGATCGCTGGATCGAGAGATATTGGGGAGTTGAGGGGATTCATTCTTTCCTCACTTGATATTGTCAATTCTTTTTGATACTTCTTTGTTTCTCAGGGCCGGCGTTGCTCTTTGTTCTTGTTTGGATTAATTATCTGGTTGAATAACAGTTTTTCGTCGTTGTACGATTTAATTGGAAACGCCGTTATTTATCATTTGTGCATCTAGTCTTGTCCAGTATGAACATGTTTAACTTATTATCCATCCATGCACATTTATTATTTTTTTTTTCGGGAGAAATGTGAGATGTTACGCTGACACTGGGTCAATTTTACCTGCTACTAAGCGCTCGTGCGCATCGACTATAGTTTTTTGTACCATAAATCGTTCTTTTTTGGGGGTTGAGACGGTATTTTTTACTGAACAATGAACTGTTCGTTGACCCCGGAGGCCCGAGCGAAATTTAATGTTTTGTACGAACGAAAAAAATGTATTATTATTATTACGATTTGATGGAACGGGTCAAAGGTTCTAGCTGTTCATAACGAGGTACCGTCTTCGCGCCCACACTCGTTGCATAGAGAATAATAGTCGTAAAGTAGGTAAGTTTAGCCGTATTTGACCTTCATTTTTGATTAACGAGTAGCCCGCATTTTTTTTTCGTCGCAGTCTCACACACGAATGTAACACACACTTGATCTGCCTCCCAAGATTTTTTAGAAGCCTCCCCCCCTCTCTTCATTTATTTTTTTTATTTTCATCTCTTTTTTTTCGTTGTATCCTTGAGGAGCCAGACCGAGCAGTATTTCTTTTTGTTCCTCTTTTTCGCTCCCTCCTACTTAGATTTGATGAATTCTAAATTCCGAGGACATCCGGATTTTGTTTTCTTTTCATTTTTCGATTCTCATTATGGCAGTCCATTGTAAATTTATGAAATTTTTTTTATTCGTTACGAAGTTTTTGGATAATTGCACGAGTGCAATCAAGGTGTGACTCTCTCTTTGGTACTGTTATTACTCCGAGAAGTAAATATTAAGTGATTTTTGTTTAGTAATTGAAGAAGAGGTCTCCACAATTGTGCCCCATTTGTATTAATTTCATTTCTTTTTCTATTCTCGTGTTAATTTATTTACATTGCCAATGATAAAAAAAAGACGTTGCAATATTTACTGGAGTAAATCGTGCAATTTCAGTTGAGTTAAGAGAGTTCGTACATAGCCGACCTTGGAGGCCCCTTTATCCGAACGAGCGTTTTGCAAGAGTAACCAGTGCGTATGATTTTTGTTTGAATTTTCTTGTTTAAAAAAGAATACCAACTCAATGCGATGAACGGGGAGATAATTTCCCCCGTTGAGTGTAGAATTTCACGAGCTCGGCTATATATTTGTTGCCAATGCAATCCAGTCCGTACAGTGTGCCTTTTTTTTTCATGACGAATGCAAAGCGAATATGATTGAAATAACAAAATTCATTCTCCTTTGAAGCAAAACGAAATTCAATCTCGTTAGAGTTGAAGAAAAATTGATAATTAAAAATGTGCAGAGTTTACAAAACAAATGGAAAATGATACGCTCTCACTGATAGAAAAACAAATGTTGCACAAACGAAAAACGTATGAAAGTAAATCTAAAATTAATGAAAACCACTTGTGATTTAGTTTGTAAGTGAAAACCCCATTAGACTATAGTTTTTATGGTGATTAAAACTGTAATTTTCATGGGAAACTAAAATTATGACACCATAATAGTTGCATAACACTATTCATAATGAGAGTACATATTACTATATTACGTAATAATTATTGAATATAAAAATATATGTTATATATCGAGAAAGCTGAGAAGAACTCTTTTTTTACGAATAATTTTATTTTTGAATGAAACAATGATGAAAATAAAATTCACTATATTACACATGAATAATTCTCTTCAATTGTTCCCCTCAGTCCTCCAATTTATTTCGACATTTCAGGCTATTCTTATATTAGTTTAACTGCTGCAACACTCAATTCAGAGTCTTTTTTAATCTTTTTTTGTGGTCGAGTGAGTTTAAGTTCAGCCCTCTTCTTAATTATTGCAATTGGCTAATTGTCTCAATTGAGAAAAAGTTCTCGGTAGGGAGAAATTAACGGACAGCGAGAAACAATGGAATTCCAGCTGAAAGTAAGTGGAAATTAAATATTCTGTCATTTTTTCCTTCAACTGAGAATAATGGAGCTCAAGAGGCGAGTAAGTGTCAGTTGCTGGAGTAGGTGAGCATGAATAATAAACTATCAGTGGACCGAGACATTCATTACTCGAATAATGAATTGTTTCGGAGCCATCCGGAAACGAACATTACGAGATATATTATTCCTATTCAATCTCGTTAACGAGGTCGAGTCAAAGATTACAACAATGACTGAGGGCTTGAGGCTAATTGCCCCCGCATAGTCAGATCCATCGAACGATAATTCAACGTCGGAGAGACAATAAAAGTTGGGTGTATTTGTTGGGTCTTTGGGAATGGCCAGTGAGCATTACTGCACGCATCATTGGAGATGAGGGGGAATTTTTCTGGTTTCAATTATTGATATGTCGAGATCGATTGAGTGGAATTTGTTGACTTTTTTTTCCAATTTTCAACATTTTTTTAAGATGCGGTTGAATTTGTTTGAATTGAATTGGTGGGCAGGAGATAATGAAGTTTTGGAGAGGAACATTTTGTTCTTTCCCTAAGGAATTGAGAGATTTACCCAAAAAATCATGGATAAGGAGAAGAGATAGGGGGGAGGATTTTATTTTTATCTCAATCATGATGGGGCGAAGCAAAAATGTCCCATTGGTGCAACAATTTATGAGAGAATATCAGAATATTAAGTATAACGTTTGATTTAACTAAGGAAACTTGAAATTGGTTGAGTGGAATTCGACGATTTTTTTCCACTGGACATTTTTTGGAGCCTTAAATTGATATGAAATTTCATCGAATTGCTTTGTTTGGTGAGATTTGGACATTTGGAAAGGAGCATTCTATTCCGTCCCCAAGGAATCGAGAGCTTTGTGCAGCAAAAAATAATAGATAGGGGGAAGAGCGAGGGGATCGAGATAGGGGGAAGGATTTTATTTTTATCTGAATCATAGAGGGATGAAGCAAGGAATAGAAGAATATTGGGCATAATGTAAGATCATTGCTGATAAAAAAGACAGTGGAATAGGGATTTACACTGTTAAGAATTGTCGGCTGAAATTTCCGGAACAATTCTTGGAAATTTCTATCATACAACAGTTCCATTAGAATTTCAAAGAAATTCGTCACAGAAAATTTGTGATTTTTTGGAAAAAAACAATGGACATTAAATTTCAAATCTTTTATAACAGCGCAGTTAAGAATACAGATTGGCAGATAAAAATGTTCCTATCTTTACTTCATTCTCAACATGTTTTTTTATTTTTAAAAGAAACCGGATTCGCGAAAGCCATATTATTTGGTCAAAAAATGACGAGAATTTGAAAAAATACCATTTTGCCTCACTTCTACCCCCGCCGCGTCTTTCATACAAAAAATATCGTAGATAATGAAGGGAAAAAACCAAAAATTTCATGTTTATCTCAATTTTGGAAGAGACGAAAGGACAAAACCTCAAGTTGCAGCCATAATTCCAAATAAAAGCCCCTCGAGCATAACGAAATTAATGATAAAAAGTACAATGGGATGTTGGCTCAGCCAAAGAAACTCGTCAAACAACTCGCAGTGAGAAGGAAATATTTATCTCTATGCAAACACTTCGAACTCAAATATATCTCGCCGAGACCCCGTTCTTCAACGCATTGGCACGCAGGCACGTTTCTACGGATTGAGATAAGAGAGTGATTGGTATTTATCAAGGAAAGTTTTTTTTCCCCTGAATTTCCATAGAATAAAAAAAATAACAATCTCCCGCGGCACAATTTTGTCCTCAAATTGCGAAATACTTCAATTGAGAATTCTGATGAAACAAAGGATATCTCATGCAGGAAATGATCCCACGACCATGACTGGATGCATAACTTATTCTTACTGGTTTTTGTTCTTTGAAAGCATTTATGGAATTTCTCCCGTGATATTTGCAGCTGTATTATCGTCTAATACCCGTTCATGGTGACTGGAATGCCTGATTTTTATAGTTGGTAACCCTGTTGCAGAGACAATTCCACAGCTGCATATGTTCCATATCAACTTCTCAGAATTACTCAATAATTTATTTTATTTTTACAGAATGAAACTTCTTAAATGTCCAATATATCCTCAAAAAATGTTGCGATTTGAATACCCCAGCTCTCGTTTTCAGCAATTGAAAAACATTTTCAAAATGAAAAAAAAAATTTGGATTTCACTCAGCCGATGGTTAATTATTTCCGGTTAAAACCCGTTCGTTTCGCCCTGTCCTCAATGAAAAATGACAATCAAATTTAAATTCCTGCTGGACTCCGCAACATTATCTCCCTCATAATTTGAAACAAACACCACTTATTCCAGTTATACCGACGACCATTAAATTCCATGAATGCCCCAGTTATTTTGCTCTATTTTCCTAATGAAAATGGAAATAGGAGAATACTGAGTTAAATCAGTCTCATAAAATCCTCGCTATCCTCCGATCGGATGATACCATTTGGATAAGTCAAGTCTCATTTTCAAGGCTGAAAAAAAATCTTCAAAATGAAGAAAAAAATTTTAGCTTTCACTCCGCCAATCTTGAGTTATCACCGGTTAAACACGGTTTGTTTAACCCTTCCCTCACCGAAACCATGAAAATAAAATCTAAATTTCTACTTTAACATTATCTTCCCCCATAATTTCGCGCAAACACACTGCTCATTCCAGCTATAACGACGACCATTAATTGACCATCCTTGTTTATATTTCACGTCTCGAAAAGGCAATACAAACGGCCTCTCAACATTTTAGCACTGGAACGCGTTAAATTCATCGCCATCGTAATATGCAGTTCAACGAGTCGCGAATCGCCAATTTAGGGTCTACAACGTTACCCTGATTTTTACAACTCCACGAGAAAAAATACAAAACCCATTAACGACTGAAAAAAAAAACCACGCCAATAACAATTACAAAAACCTGAAAACAAGATGTATGGACAAGGCGAAAATTTATCTCAATCATGAGAACAAGTTTTCCGCTCAATAAGATGATTACACCGTAATGATGCTTCATCATCAATAATAATATGTTAATTAAATTCAGTACTATTTCGAAACAGTCCAGTCGCTTCCGCATGTAATCGCCCCGGCGATTTTTTTTTTCATTCAATGCCGTCGACTGACAGTTGCCTCAAGTATTTAAAAATGTGAATGCGCGATTAAGCTTACGTTTCTCGTGTTTACACACACAATTTAACGGAGCACAATGTGAAGAAGCGAGAGGAATAAAAGTAGCAGACAATTTTATCGTCGAGTGATTATAATCTCTAGTCGTATTACTCCGGAGTGTTAACTCCGGTGGTTTCCCACGCGTTTGAGAAAAAAGGTTGTGCCAAGGTTAATTTGTAAAATCTTTTCAATCGGCCGCGGGTTTTGGTTTAAAACTGATTATGGGTTGTTGGTAATATTTGTTGGCATTTTCGGGGCCAAATCCCGGGATTTTTGTTCGGCGACATTTCCTTCGAGATTTCAGAAAAATTATTTAATGAAAAGACGAGTATTAGATCAATTTTATAATAATTCTATCAAACTATCAATGAAATTATGTCGAAAAAATACTGAAACATCTGAAAATTCAGATGAACGCTTGCGAATTCCCTTGAATTTACTTTTAAAAAAACATTGAAATCTCATGGACGGTTGACTAATAATTTAAAAAATCATAAAATTTGAGGATTTCACAGAAAATTCAGTGATGGTTCACATTTTTTAGCAACAAAAACACGAAAATTCCTCAACTTGCATGAATTTTCGATCAAAACATCACCATTCAGGATAAAATTGCGCCGCATTTTCTCATCATTGCCAATTTAAGAATATATTTACCACAATTTTCGTGATTTTTATTAATCTCATGGAATTATTGATCTAAAATTCACAATTCCCAATGATTTTTCTCCAAAATTCTCAATTGCGAAATTCCTCAAGCCGTCAGTGGACTTACAAACTCATCGAAAATTTCGAAGAAGTGTACCAGAAATTTCAGCTAAAGATTTCAGTTCAACGATTCCACGAAAAATCAGAGAACTCCCATAAAAAAATCTAAATTCTCTTGAATTCAACTTGAAATTCAAAAGCTCAATCTTTTTCCCCGTAAATCAGCCTCAATGTCACTCATAAAAATTACGACCAGATTGTCCATCACATTATATTTTTCTGATGGCGGAGAGGAGCAAAAGTCCCAGGGAGGCGGGTGAGGGAGAGAATGATTGTAGCTATCGACATAGAATGAATCTTTAGCTTCCGGTGAGGACGAGCTGTTGTGTGAATCGAAGATGATGATGAAGATACTTGAGGCACCATTGGTGGCCACCATAACCGGGCATGGTGGCTCGAGCGGTTTGCCGAGGGGAAAGGTAGAGCCAAGGGAAACCTTTTTCCCCACTCTCTCGTCACCTTGGACTCCTTGGAATGCGTATATGTGAGATAAGCGAAATACGATTGGTGCGAGTTATGCTAAGGTATAGGTCAGTTGGACAAATTTATCTGTCTTGTTGACTGCTGTTCGCCTAGTTTATGGTGTAAATTATGCGAAAATGCACGGACAAATAATTTTTTCCTCATTTGTGCTTTAATAATTACGTCTGCGAGTCCATCTTCCACTGTTGAGCGGCGGAATTTATTTTGGCAGAACGATTCAAGAGTCGTTAGGTCGTGAGGGTCGAGACTCGCTCCACGAACGTGTCCGAACGCGCTTGCCCCACCGGTCTATACACGAAAGCGGAGCGAGGGAGGC